TGAAGGAGAATTTTTGTGCATCGCTTGGCAGGAATCTGCTTTAACCATTGTGATAGTTTATTACACAAATTGGGTCATTTTCATCATACCCAACTAAATCAGAGTTGAGGAGCCATGGGGAAAAAGCACTTGGGGCACATAGCACCTGCTCCAAGAATTGAATTTTCTGCAAGGCCAGTGGCGGAAATGGCCAGCTGTAACTCTAAGGCCAGTTTTACCTAGTAAGTGCTCAAACGACATGCAATGACTTTAAGGCTAGTTTTACCTACTGCCAGAACTCACCAATCAGAGTTTGCCAGCTCCCAAAAGCTTCTCTAGTGCCAGTGAGCATCCTTTCGAAACACATGTACACAACATTTCTCTAATAAAGCTCCTAACGTTATCTTTGTTCTTCAGAGGTACTGAAGATCACACTGCTTTGTGTTTATGCCCCAAACTGCAATTCTGTGATTCCCAAATAAAACGTTTAATTTAGAGATTTGTCTCTATATTTTTTTGTTTCGACTTTGACACCATTCACCATTAGTATGATATATTTAAAGGTTGTCCCCCAAGGTGAGTAGTATACTGAATTAAAAAATTCATTCTATTGTAATTCTGATAATTGCTTTGCTTTGCATCCTACTGTGGACTTGTTGGATATTTAGGCGGCTGTAAACTACCCAGAGAAACAGCGATGGAGATAACGAAGAATTTGTAGTGTTACTGTAAAAGAGTAACAGAAGGGGAAAATTGTAAGAGTAAATAAACATAAAATTGAATTTTTCCTGTTGCCAAAAGGGAAAGAGAATTTTCCCCACTTCGCTTTTCTTGGGGCATTTCCTTGAGAAAACTTGTATTTGTAAATCCTTCCTTTGATACGTAAGCTTCTTGCTAGCCTGTAACCCAGGAATGTCTTTCGTAAAGACGTTGGAGCCAGCTCTTTGAAATGTGAACATCAAGGAAGCTAGTGCCCCTGTTTCCCTGTTACCAGGGGAGTTTAGCCTAGGTGCCTTGCTCCAAGCTATAAGTACCTGCTTGTCACAGAGATACGAGTTTTATTTTTTCCTTCAGATAAAGGCAATTAACTAGCACAGATGGCTACTTCAGTTACCAGGTGAACTTAGGACTTGCCTGGGAGTATTTAGTTTTCACCCTTGGCTGCTGCTGTACAGTCAGGCCAATGAGTTGCATACCTGGACTTTCTGGTTCCTTCCACCACTTTTGGAATGTATGAAACACTACACCTCAAAGCGTGCGATCTGGTTTCCCAGACAGCTGCCAGAGGGGCAGATGATGCAATCTAGAGTGTGGAAGAATTAATGCCTTTGGGGTAAACTTTGATCAAAAAGAAAAGGAATTCCCTCTGCTTTCTCCTTCCCATGCACTGTTCCAAGGGTGGTTTCTTGGGGATATTTTTGCAGAAAAAGGCAGTTTGGGTGATTTTTGCAGCAAACTGCTCAGCTCTGTAAACTTATATACTTGCTCCTCTCCATCAGTCTCCCCTATGAAATCTTCCACAAATTATCATTTTATAACTATTGCCTTGTGAAGTGAATTTTCTCTTGGAGAATAAAACAGATTGAGTCCTGCACCAAAATGCAGGGGAAGCTGCACACAGCCAGGTTACAAAATATTATATTAATCTATAATAATACTAGGTTTTCTACATGCCAACAGTAACCATTTATAAAACAAAATGGTGAAAAATCACACTTATATAGTGACAAAAATAAGCAAAATAAAAACAGACCAATTGCAGCAAGATAGCAGATATAGCCCATGTCCCACCCAACAGCCCATCGAACTCTGAAGGAAAATGTTTTCAAGGATAAATTTTTAACAGTACAGGAAAACAAGAAAAGGTATCAGTAGGCCACTAAAAGTACTGAGGCATTCCTGGTAGACAGAAAGTAGGTGGGATCAGACTGACACAGAAATCCAAGGAGACGCTCGTTGCCCTTCCTTTGGCTCTCCCTTTGCTGCGACAATGGGTCCGGCTGTCATCTGTGGTATATGTACCAGGCTCTGTAAACCTATATCTTGCTCTTGCCCTATAATCCTATCTTTCTCTCCTCAATAAACCTCATTTTCATGCTTGCCTGAAAAAAAAAAAAAAAGAAATCCAAGGAGACAAGATCGCAGCTTAAATCACAGCAGGCAAGCGCTCCTTTGTGTAACAAAGCCTCTGAAACACTCCAAAGCCAGACTCAAAGAAATGCAAAGAGATAAAGAGCAGGCATGGGCCTTAGGATAATCATCAGGTAAATTAAGGTTCATTTGTAGCACCTGAATCAGCCAGATTCCCTTCCAACATCACATACAGATTGGCTAGCAGCAGCCATTTTTGCCTCTAAGATGAAACTCCAAGAATTATTCATTAAAGAAAGTGAACAGTTTGGCTATACCTTCTCTATAATACACATGAACATTAAAAATATGACCATGTATTAGGCCATAAATCCAATCTTGATAAACTGCCCCCCCCCGCCCCGGTAATAAAATGACAAGTGAACACAATACAATAAAACTAAAACAACATTATCTACTAGGAACGTTTAAAAAACACCCTTAAAAACTACTCAAAGATGACTGGGAAAACAAGTTTGAGCAAACTTGTCTACCTTCCCACCAATCCACTGAAGTGACAGGAAACATTTCATAAAATACTGGAACAAGAAAGGCTGCCGTCTGGGGACCAGAAATTTTAAAAATTCCTGAAAAATAGAAAACAGCTTAGATGACATTATAAGGGTGAAGAGAACCACAAGCCAAAACAAGCAGGAGAAAACAATTAAGAAGGTAAGAGCATATCCAGTGAAACTCTAAGCATAGGCAAATGGATAGAAAGAGCAAGAACTGGCAGGGTGCAGTGGCTCATGCCTGTAATCCCAGCACTTTGGGAGGTCAAGGTGGGAGGATCTCTTGAACCCAGGAGTTTGAGACCAGCCTGGGCAATAGCAAGACCCCATCTCTACAAAAATTTTTTTTAAAAAAATTAGCCCGGCGTGATGGGCTTCCTTGGGGTCGCTGATCTCTTCATATGCTACTAGATTCTTTCTTTCCCACAGCCGGTGGGTCCAGACATTTTTATCCCCCTGTAGTCCCAGATACTGGAGAGGCTGAGGAAGGAGGATCACTTGAGACCAAGAGTTGGAGGCTGCAGTGAGCTCAGCCCACCCCAGCCCCCACGCTCTTGGTTGTGAGGCCCTTGGTGGGCACTCTCATGCCTCTGTGCAGTGGACTTTTCCATCTGTTGCTTCCCTACATCAAGACTAAGTGGATTCTTCTATTCCTGTCCACCACATGGCCTATAGTGGTCCCTTCTTCCCGATTCCTCCACGTTTCCCAGTTGACAGTTTCATCTGTCTCCTCCTATACACTCTCAAGTGGATTGTCCCAGCCCCTGAACCTGAAGATTGTTCAGAGAGCCAAAGGGCCAGTACACCCAACCACCTGAGAATCCTGCTCCAGGACTGGGGTGGACGGTGTCTATCAAGATAAAAACTGAAAACATCCTCCACTAGAATCCCAACTCCACGTGGGCAGGGGTATTGTCTGCCTTGTTCCCTGATGTCTCTCCAGCACCTAGAACAGCGCTCGGCATAGAGTACATGTTCATTAGGTGTTTGTTGTATAGATGACTCCTTTGACACAGCAACTCCACTGCTAGGAACCTGTCCTAAAGAAACACCCACACATGTGCACAGAGCTGTGTGCGCAAGCATGACAGAGAGTAAACAACTGGGAAAAGTTTGCAAATATTTATTTATTGACAGTGACTGATGCAGGGTAAACAATAGGGGTTTGCAGCGAGGAGCACTCGCTGAACAGGAAACAAGTGTTTGTATGTGTGTGTAAATGCAAAGAAAAAAGTCTGGAATTAAACACAGACCTTTCCTCAGTAGTTCTTTTTTTTTTTTTTTGAGACAGAGTCTCACTCTGTTCCCAGGCTAGAGTGCCGTAGCGTCAGCCTAGCTCACAACAACCTCAAACTCCTGGGCTCAAGTGATCCTTCTGCCTCAGCCTCCTGAGTAGCTGGGACTACAGGCATGCGCCACCATGCCTGGCTAATTTTTTCTATTTTTAGTTTTTGGCCAATTTCTTTCTATTTTTAGTAGAGACCGGGTCTTGCTCTTGCTCAGGCTGGTCTTGAACTCCTGACCTTGAGCGATCCTCCCGCCTTGGCCTCCCAGAGTGCTAGAATTACAGACGTGAGCCACCACACCCGGCCTCCTCAGTAGTTCTATCTGGGGAGAGAGAAGGGTAGTGTTTTCTGTGCAGAGAATTTCTGACACTGCTTGTTTTCTAAGGTAGGTGCATGGATACACAGACACAAAAATTCAGTAGGTATGTCTTGCTCATCAATGAAATACTAATATCTAACAGAATGCTTGGCATATAGTAAGAAAAACAATGCTAAACTTTTCACTGTTGTGAACTCTTCCTTTCACTTGCTATATTCCTGATGGCCAGGAGTTCACAGCCATGCCCGTGTTCGTGAAAGGCCATCAGGTTCTGCTTCTCATCACGGGCATGTGTCACATCCCTGAAGCAGAGGCAAAGAAAGAGAAGGAAAATAAGTAGCAGTGAGTTCCTACCACCTGATAACTCAATGCTCAATTCCTCCTGACCTGCAGAGCTCACACACTCTGATTCTGGCCTACCCCCGGACCTGCACGTACCTCCCACTGTTTCTCAAAGTGAACTTTCTGCTCATGCCACAGTGACTCCCTCACCTGGTTTATGAACTCCTAGGCTACAGGAAGGCGTGGCCTGCACGTCAGGGCTGACCTGGGGTTTGGGAGCCCACAGCATCCTGTGTAGGGAAGATCCCTGGATATACAGGGCAGGGAATAGGAAGAGCACTGGAAATCTCATCATTTAGCCTCAATTCTGCACCCCAGGGGATTAGAAGGGAATGATTTGGGGAACAAGTTACAAGATGGGATACCAGTACCAATAACAGAACAGCACATTTGCTGGGGTGTGGGGGATGGGCCGAAGGGTCACTTACAGAGTCAGTCTTCGTCTTCTTCTTCTTCTTCTTCAGGGTTGCTGATCTCTTCATATGCTATTTGATTCTTTCTTTCCCGCAGCTGGTAGGTCCAGGAATTTTTACCCTTCTTCTTGTATCCTATGATGGAGAAAAGTTGTACAATGAGGTTTGGGTGGGTTGGGGAGTGTGAGGCCCTATTTTGTCAGAAAAGGAGATGCCTCCTCTCTCCCAAGTGCCCACAGGCCTTCTACATCCTCTGTTTTCACATCCTGTGGCTCAGAGAGGCTAAGATGTTAGACCTGCACCAATACAGACCAAATGCCAGTTAAAGTTTTAGCTTCTGGCTCCTTCCACTCTCAGGTTTAGATTCCTAACCTCTTCACTTACCAGAACATTCACTCATGCCTTATTTCGTTCAGCATATATTTGTTAAGAGCATACAGGCATACCTTTTTATTGAACTTCTCTTCAATATGCTCCATAGATACTGCATTTTATTTTTAAAAATTGAAGGTTTGTGGCAACCCTACATCAAGTCTATCAGTGCCATTTTTTCCAATAGCATGTGCTCACTTTTTGTCTCTGTGTCATATTTTGGTAATTCTCACAATATTTCTGACTTTTTCATTATTATTATATCTGCTATGGTGATCTGTGATCAGTGATCTTTTATGTTATTATTGTAATTGTTTTGAGGTACCAAGAACTGCACCCATAGAAGACAGCAAACTTAATCGATCAACGTTGTGTGTGTTCTGACTGTTCCACTGATGGGCCGTTCCCTGTCTCTCTCCCTCTCCTTGGGCCTCCCTATTCCCTTAGACACAATAATATTCAAATTAGGCCAGTTAATAACCCTACCATGGCCTCTAAGTGTTCAAGTGAAAGGAAAGGTCATATGTCTCTCAGATTAAATTAAAAGGTGGAAATGATTAGGCTTACTGAGGAAGGCATGTAGGAAACTGAGATAGGCCAAAAGCTAGGCGACTTGCACCAGTTAGTCAAATTGTGAATGCAAATGAAAAGTTTTTGAAGGAAGTTAAAAGTGCTGCTCCAGTAAACACATGCTTGATAAGAAAGCAAAACAGAATTATTGCTGATAGGGAGAAAGTTTGAGTGGTCTGGATAGAAGATTAAACCAGCCACAACATTCCCTTAAGCCAAAGCCTAACCCAGAGCAAGGTCCTAACTCTCTTCAATTCTGTGAAGGCTGAGAGAGGTGAGGAAGCTGTAGAAGAAAAGTTGGAAGGTAGCAGAGATTTGTTCATGAGATTTAAGGAAAGAAGCCATCACCATAAAAGAAAAGTGCAACGTGAGACAGCAAGTGCTGATATAGAAGCTGCAGCAAGTTATCCGGAAGATCTAGCTAAGGTAATTGAAGAAAACAACAGATTTTCAATGCAGATAAAAAGTCTTATATTAGAAGAAGATCCCATTTAGGATGTTCATAGCTAGAAAGGAGGAGTCAATGCCTGGCTTCAAAGCTTCAAAGGACAGAGTAACTCATTTGTTAGGGGCTAATGCAACTGGTGTCTAAGTTGAAGCCAATGCTCATATACCATTCTAAAAATCCTAGGGCCCTTAAGAATTATGCTAAATCTATACTGCCTGTACTCTATAAATGAAACAACAAAGGCTGGGTGATAGCACATCTGTTTACAGCATGATTTGCTGAATCTTTTAAGCCCATTGTTGAGAACTACTGCTCAGGAAAAAGATTCTTTCAAAATATTACTGCTCATTGACAATGCACGTGGTCACCCAAAAACTCTGATGGAGGTGTACAAGCAGATTAATGTTGTCTTCATGCCTGCTAATACAACATCCATTCTTCACCCCATGGATCATGGAGTAATTTCAACTTTCAAGTCTTATTATTTAAGAAATACATTTCAGAAGGCTATAGCTGCCACAGATATGATTCCTCTGATGGATCTGGGAAAAGTAAATCAAAAACCTCTTGGAAAGGATTCATCATTATAGATGCCATTAATAACATTCATGATTCATGGGAGGAGGACAAATTATCAACATTAACAGGAGTTTAGAAGAAATTAATTTCAAACCTCATGGATGACTTTGAGGGATTCAAGACTGCAGTGGAGGAAGTCACTGCAGATGTAGTGGAAATATCAAGAGAACTAGAATTAAAAGCAGAACCTGGAAATGTGACTGAATTTCTCATGATCAAACTTGAACAGATGAGGAGTTGCTTCTTAGGGATGAACGAAGAAAGTGGTTTCTTCAGATGGAATCTACTCCTGAAGATGCTGTGAACATTGTTGAAATGACAACAAAGGAGTAAGAATGTGACATAAATTTAGTTGATAAAGCAGTGGCAGGTTTTGAGACAACCAACTCCTATTTTGAAAGATGTTCTGTGGATAAAATGCTATCAAACAGCGTTGCATACTGCATAGAAATCTTTCATGAAAGGAAGAGTTAATCGATGCAGCAACATTGTTGCTTCAACTTCATTCAAAGCAACTTCATTGTTGTTTTATTTTAAGAAATTGTCACAGCCACCCCAACCTTCAGCAACCACCAACCTGATTAGTCAGCAGCCATCAACATTGAGGCAAGACCCTCTATCAGCAAAAAGATTAGGACTTGCTGAAGGCTCAGATGATTTTTAGCACTTTTTAGCAGTAAAGTGTTTTTAAATTAAGATATGTGCTTTTTGAGACATAATGCTATTGTGCACCTAATAGACTACATACAGTATAGTGTAAACACAACTTTCATATGCACCGGGAAACCAAAAAATGTGTTTGACTTGCTTTATTGCAGTGATTTGGAACTGAACCCACAATACTCTGAAGTATGCCTGTATTAGGTGTCAGGCATTGAACTGAGTAAGGTATGTTCCCAGGTTATCACAGATGGAATTACTTGAATACTTTTCACATCATCAGGCCTTCTAGATTTAATTTAATGCCTCCAGGCAGGGCACGGTGGCTCACACCTGTAATCCCAGCACTTTGGGAGGCTAACGCGGGAGGATCACTTGAGGCCAGGAGTTCAGGACCAGCCTGAGCAAAATAGTGAAACTCCTGTCTCTACAAAAAAAAAAAAAAAAAAAAAATTTAATGCCTCCAAACAATTTATGAACTACGATTCTTTATTTCCATTTTATGGACTAGGAATCTGGAGCTCAGACAATTTAGAAGACTTGCCCAAAGTCACATGGCTTTTGTATGGATGACAATTCAAATTTGTGGTTCTGGAAGTCATGTTTTAACGTCTCAGCTGGTGCTGGGTGAGTTCTTCAGCCCAGCCTGCACCCAGGCCCGTCCAGGGTCCATGCTACACACCCATACCACACACACAAACATAGGCAGGAAAGCCAGAGGGTTTGTTCCTTAGTTTTCTCCTCTTACCTGTTTTCTTACTCTGCTTCCTAGAGGTTCTTGCTTTTCCAGTGGGGCACAGCTGTCTCTGAGCCCGTTCCAAGTCACGTGTTCCTGGCACTTCCTTCGAATCATTTCCTTTCTTTGCTGGCTTCTTGGGTATCACCTTCTTAATGTGAAGGTCACATATAAAACAGTGTCAATGGCATTTCTCTAATGCTTTAGAGCTTACAAAGAGTATTTTCACATGCATTACCTTAATCAATGTTCTCAATAACTGTGGGAGATCATTACACTATCTGTACCTAAATTATGAAGAACCTGGGAGGTTAGAAGGGAAAGGAATGGCCAAAATGAGTGGTGAAGGACTAGTTTCCAGGAATAGAATGCTTGACTTCACGCTCTTTCCAGACTGTCATTCTTGCAAAAAGCAAAAATCTCCATGTAATTGAGAGTGTGGTATACAGAAGATTTGGGGGAAGAATAGCATTCTAAGAATCCACAAGGTCTGCAAAAAGTGCTTCTATAAAATATAGGGGATAGTGTCTAAGCTTGTAGGCAGCGACTGGGATGGTAAATACAAAAACATACACAGGGGACAAAGCACTGGTGGAAAAAATGATGTGGGGGAGATGAATATAGGAAAGGGAGAGGAAAGAAATGGTTCACAGAAATTAATCAATTAATCTAGGCAGCAAAAAAAGCAGTGCCAGATGTGGCACACCAACCTACCCTGGCAATGAATGTGGAATTAGACAAGGTGGTACCTGTATCAATTCTGTTGTGTCAGGATGTGTCATTGGCCAGCAATCTTAAGCTACTTTTCACTGAGCTTTCTCATTTGTGAAATAGTGAACAATACATGTAAAACAGGCTAAGGGAAAATACTTTCTGAGCTTGTAAATACTGTTTAAATGTGGTAATAATAAAAATTAACATTTTTTCCATGATTCTTCTTTGAATTTGCTCTATAATGGTCTCCACGCTGGCTACCTGACTCTCAGATCCCTTTAACCTCTCAACTACAGTTGTGGAAATCACTCATTCAGTAAATATGCAGACACCTCTGAAGGTTCCCCTGGGCTGGGACTGGGGCTTCAGAGATGTCCCAGGTGCAGACGAGGCCCTCAAGGAGCTCACAATAGGGAGGGGTCAACAGTCAAAGCTATTCCCACACCGTGGGAGTGGCCCCGCAGTAGAGCAGAGGCCAGCTGTCCTTTAGTCAGCGTCTAATGGAAGCATCAGCCAGCTGTGTAGGGTAAAGACCTAATGAGCAACGCCTGAATTTCATAAACAAATGAAAACATGAATGAGCTTTGAAATGGTTTGGGGCACCGCCACTGGAACTCAGGCAAATTATTTAACATCCCTGTACCACAATAGCCTCAATTTTACTACTATTATTATTTTACTTATAAATAATAATAATATGCTCATTATTATTTGGAGATAACTGGAAACGACATCACAGAAGTTTTCATAAGGATTAAAGAAATTAATCTGTGCAAACTGCTTAAAATACTATCTGGCATCACTATGAAAACAAAAGAAGTATTAGCTATCACAATTGTGTTAAGTACTATCAAGCCATTGATGCTACATCAGGTGTTGTGATAAAGACAGGAGCAAAGGGAGGCAGTGAGGGCTAGGACATTTTGGATGTTCTCCCACTCTTACCAATGTTCAAATCCATGGAGGGACAAAGGTTCTCTGGTCCTTTAGATATTTGGGAGATACTCACCTTTGGGCATTTTTTCTGTTGCCCACGGGAAGCCCCCTGAGGAGGTTCATCTAAAAGAGGGTGATAAATCAGAATTTTTCTTTGTTGGTAAATATTTCCAAACCCTAGAAAGACTCCTGTAGCATCATGGAATTCAGAAGTAGAAGGTTACTAGTTTACTCATTGTTGAGGAGTTATTTGAGATTAGCTTTTGAATTATCTTTAGTAATGGTTTATGCACTTATTGGAGGCATCAATTCAGAATTTTCCTTCTGATGGTTTATAAAATGTGGACTTAACCCTATCACAGCTTCATCCTATTTCATTACATATCTCTCATTTTTTTCCCAAAGAAGTAAATTGGTTGGTTGGGAATTTGAACTGTATCCACTTAAAGATGTGTGACAACTAAAAATCAATTTACATTTAAAATGGGTGAGTCACCAGGCGCAGTGGCTCATGCCTGTAGTCCTAGCTACTCAGGAAGCTGAGACAGGAGGATCATTTGAAGCCAGGAGTTTGAGGCAGCAGTGAGCTCTGACTGTGCCACTGCACTCCAACCTGGGCAACAGAGTGAGACCCTGTCTCTAAAAAAACAAACAAAAAAAAAGGTGAATCTTACGGTATGTCGATTATACCTCAAGCTGTTAAATGTGGGATGAACCATGGATAATTTAGTCCGGTGGTTCTGAAATGTTTCCAGTATAAAGACACTCCTTTAATGTCAAACAATTTGCAGATACTCAAGCACTAGATTTTCAGACCTCTTACAGTGATCATGGGAGCTTGTAGAATCTGGCCGGTTTAGTTTCAGAGTCATAGGTCTATTGGTTATTCTGACCCTATCTTCTTACAACTGTGCTGTCAGAGCAGAAGAGCAAGTAAACACATCCCAACCCCTTTATAAGGACTGCGCATATTAATCGAATGTACAAAGAGCTCTACCCTAGAATCTGTCCCCTTTTCATCCTGTGTTGTCTCTGCTCATTGGCAAGTGGGAGTGCTCAGCGTGTGTGGTTGGGGGAGGCTGCTCTCTCAAACTCTCTTCCAAGCTCAACATACAGAATCACGTTTGATTGGGAGTGAAAAGATTATTTGGTTTTGATAAAATACAGGGAAATAGCTATCTTCATTACATAAGGTGTTAATCACTTTCTCTCTTAAGATATTTATCCAATACCTATGCACTATCAGAAAATTGACTGCAAGTTTTGGGAAGATTTACACTTTAATTAGAATTTTCTCAATTACCCTTTGATTCATTAACAGTGTTTAGCAAGAACATATCCTTTAAAAAAAGAAGTATTTCCATGAGTGGATTAATAAAATGTGGTATATGTATACCATGGAGTACTATTCAGCTTTAAGAAATAATGGTGATATAGCACCTCTTGTAT